TTTATTTTTTATTAATATATGGTTTGAATTATGAGTTTTAAATTTGTACAAATCTTAATAGGATAAATGTTAAAAATTGTCAATGAAGAAAAGTTTCTTTTCTCTTCAATATTTTAGCACCTAAAAAAACTTTAACTTAAATCTTAATAATGCAAAAGAGAATTGATTAATTAGATAAAAGCTTAAGAACTATGAATTTCAATGAATATAAATTGTTCTGTTTTGAATACAATTATGCTATCAATGTTTTCATTAGATATACAAAATAATAGAATATTTTCCTTTGTTACTATTAAATAGATTTTAATTATATATAAATTAAATAATATATTTACTAGGTTTATTGATCATTACTGACATTTAAATTATATATGTATTTAATAGGTATAGATAAAATATTTTAATTACCTAAAGGAAACAAAATATGACTTTTAAAGTTGGAAATTACATTTTAAAAATTTAATAAAATATTATCGTTTTTGAATTCTTTATTATTTAAATCGATGTTAATTAATTGCAACTTTCAATGCATTATATATCTGATATGCACTTAGTTAATAATGTTTTTCTTTGACGTTGTTCAATAAACATATTAAATGTCTATTAAAATAGATATGGTATTGGTATAACTTCCATAAAAATCATAAATTTCAGCCCTTGCTTTGTGGTGATTCTGGTATGTTTATTCCAGTTTAATCTTATAACCATTTATCGTATTTATACCTTAATTATTATGTATATTGTATTTTGTATAGAAATAATATTTTTTATTTCAAATATATATGCTTTACGACTGAGTCATTTTAAAATTTAAATATTTTAATAATGACTGCATTTTGTGACATTTATCAAACTTATCTAGCGACTTAATTTGGAATTGGTTCTGGGGTGGGACATAAGCTTATTCTATCATCCTAGTGAGGGACTATACAGGGGTATAGTCCCCCCCACCTCATTGAGCATTACATTTCGTAGATCATAGTATTGTATTAATCCAAATTAATACAATACTAATGTAAATTAAATGAGGAAAATAATAATGGTATAACAAATGTTTCCAAAATTATGTTTTAACTATGAGTAGTACGATCTAAAAGTAATTCAATCTAAGAAATATTTTTACAAAAGGTATTAACACTGGGTGACTTCCCCTAAAATTAAGGTTTTTTTTTATTGAAACTATTTAATAACTTTAATATTTAGGTATATAAACTTTGATATTACATATTAAATAAGTATCTAATAGTATGTTTAATCAATGCTAATAATATCAATATAAATTTAAAAAAATAGTTTATTTATATTGAATATAATTTATATTTATATTAGAATATTCAACTAAACATTTTGTTTAGAAACATGATATCTCAGTAATAATCATGTGTTGTTTTTCAGATGTATATACTACATAGTACGTAATACATATCTAAAATAATAATTATCAATTAACAACAATCACGAAACAAAATGGAATGTTTTGTTTTAACTTTTAAAGTGGATTTGAGTTTCAATGACATAAATTAAATGAAATATGGAAAAATACCGTTTGATTATTTAAGAACCAACTAATATTGACAGCTGGATAGCTTTCGCCTGCAATGCAACTGACGTTAATTAGATCACCCGCTGAGTACTTCATTCTGTTCGACTGCAACGTTGGAGGGGACGATGGTTCATCTGAAATGGTATAATGAAGGAGTAAACATTAGTATACAGCATATATATTACAATGAGTACCCAAATTTTGTTTCTATATAATATCTTTATTATTTGTGAATACATATTTTATCTTATTCATTAGTATTAGATTCTGAGAGGAGCGATGAATGTATTGATTTTACAATGATGTGTGTTTTCATATTTATTTGTTTATTTATTTATTTTGTGTCTGTGTACACGATAAGTTATTGAAATAATGATTAAATTTTCAACTTCAGTAGGTTTTCCGATTGGAAAGTGAATCTAGTTAGTGCATTGGGGAGGTCAAATTTTGAATTGAAATATCTAGTAGTTTTCAAAAGCATCGATAAAAACAAGTCACGGCACCAGTTCCTTTATAGGCAACGCCTGGGGTTATAAGGCAATGTTTGGGTGGGCAGGTTTTTAATGAGTGGTTTTTGATGTGTTTGGAGACGAGAATGAAAATTTTTGTAAAAGTGTGTAGCTTCTTTTGTTACAGTTTTAATTGACAGGTCTTTATGCAAGGTGTTATTAGAAACAAAGGGTGGGGCATTCGTTATTTTCCTAAGGGCTATATTCTGAAATTGTTGTATTTTATTGGTATTGGGCACTTTTGCAGTGCCCCATAATTGGAGACCATATGTCCATATAGGTTTGAGTAATGTTTTATACATAAGGATTTTAAGTTTAAGTCTGGAATGTTTATTATTTACGAGTAAAGAACGTAGCCTGCGAAAACGAGCGTTTAAGGTGAGTCTCTTAATACGGATATGGTTTTTTCAGGTCAGGCGTTTATCCAAGTGTCCTAAGTATCCAAGGGCCCATACTACAATAGTTGAACTCCGGTTAMACCACGGTATTCGGCCGGTAAAATCAGTGGTTCAAGCATAACCCAGCTTTAAACTATGATTGTAAAACGGGTCCTAACTGTATCAGATGTGGRAATAAGGATGTTATGACAAATGAAGTGACATAGAGTGAATGTTTTATGTATCGAATTATTGGGATTTGGTAATTTTGACTCTAAAACAAATTACTGTAGACACTTGAAATTTTCACTGAATGTTTATACTGGTGTCTGGTATATTCTATACTTATAAAATTTTCAAAATATTAAAAATATTTTGAAGTTAATTATAGACATTTGAAATTTTCAATCTTTTTAGTATTTTTTTTTTTTGATAAATGACAATAAAATGTTGTTCGTTGGAAAAAAAACTTCAAAACGTAATACAAAGCTCCTTATATATTTCCACAATGGTAGTTAAAACATATTAAAAATATTGTCACAGTTCTTTTTTTAATAAGCATTGAAAGTTCGAATTTTGACAAAATACGCATAAATCTCAAAAATTCGCAATTTATTTTGAGTTAAGAATTCATAACAATTTATCTTTTTAAATCTAAAATTTGAAAATTCAATACAAGGTTCTTTATGAGTTTRTCTACTTTTATCAAATAAATAATGTCTATCAGAAAGTCAATATAAAATTTTATAAATATTTGAATTACAACATTTGGATATTCATTCAAATTCTCTTGTATTAATATTCTTATTTTGTTGTTATTCAAAAACGAATAATTTTATAAACTTGAAATTTACATCATATGCTCATTTTATGAATTCCTATACTTGATAAAATTTTTCAAAATATTTCAGTGATTTAAAATTTATTTATAGATATTTAAAATTTTCCAWTTTTTAGTTTTATTCTAATATTCTATAAATTTCAATAAAATTGTATTTGTTGGGCCAAAAGCTTAAAATTTAATTTAATACAAGGTTCTCCATAAATTTATACAATAGTAGTTGGAAAATATAAAAAATATATAGGTAAGTTTTTTTTCCGAGTTTCTTCTTTATTGGCCTAATTAATAGTTGAAAACTTGAAACCCGTTTAAGTTAGGTATTTTAATAAGGTGAGCGGAATTGATTCCCGTTGTTACCAAACTAATATTAATAAAAATAATTTACTTTTTCACATAGCCTCATATTTTCCTAAACTATATTTATTCTCAGTTCATAATTTTTAATAATTAAAATAAAAAAAATTGGTTCAAATTTTGATTTATAATTTTATATGCATCGACATTTTCAAAAGATTATCTGCTGAATAATTAAAAAAAAAAATATGGATGTTTTGAAAATCAGAAGTTTGTATCGCTGCAGGACACTTAGTTGACTGTTGACGTAATGCGCAAGCAGTTCCGGCAKCCTCGTCGATAAGACGATAATAAGAAAAAAAAAATGACACTTAGTTGATACYTRAAAAATTAATATTAAGTATATATCTACCTAAACTACGAAAGTATGGTTTTTAAGTATATTTGAAAATGCTAAAAATCAAATTTTGAATATCTGTATTATAGAAAAAAAGCGGGATGGGCATGTTTTATGAACCACCTTGTATGATTATATATGTACCTATTGCAACTTTTTTAAATGTTTCTCCACTATTTTTCAACAATAATAGTAATAATACTATATGCAAAAGATATTTGGTACGAGATACCCGTAAATATTATGGTTTGAAATATTTGTCYGGACATTTTCATGTTATAAACAATAAATGTTCAACTTTCGATACATATATGAATTAGCCAATAAAGTTATATTTATTTGTTGTATCAAGATGAGTGGTGAGTATTATTTTTCCCTTGTGTATTTTTATTGCATAACTCCCTTTCTAYAAACTTCAATAGACTATTAACCGAAAATCARACGATAAAACATAAATATTTTCTGAAAAATATTTCGTACTTAACCATAGTACAATATTGATGGTTGGTTTTCATGATACAATAAAATATAGGTTTACATACAAAAATGAATACTTAACAATTTGAAAATAATTACCCATACAGAAATTATGTAAGAATATTAAGTGTAATAACAGTAATCAATCACAGTATTAATCAGTGGCGTATATAGAAATTATATGTGGGGGGGGGAATGTTATAAAAAAACATTAATATTTGAACACTCCTTTTTAAATTATAATTAGTTAGGTGTGACCCAACCTAAATACGCCACTCGTATTAATAGTATTTTTTGTTTTAATTTTTAATAATATGTGTTATATTTTATAATTTACCAAAATTATTTCCGAAGAAWAAATTATATTTTGTTTTACATAAAAAATTTGCGTTCAGATATAAACTAAAAGAAAATATATACTTTCATGTTGTGTACGTGCACCGTATAATAAAGGCAATATACTTGTATTGAGGGAATTGTTCTAATACGTGCAGAGTAATAAGTCGGATTATTATTTATTCGTTTATTATTATTCAATATTTTAGCATTATTGGAAAAAAATC